TATATATTTTATGTAGAACTAACAGGGCTTTTTTCACAGGTTGGGAAGCAGCCCAGCCCTTAATTTTGGGGAAAAAATACACGGTATATTTGCAAAAGGGGAAGAAAAAAACTTGATGTAAATTCATTTTTTGGGAAAACTGCATGATTTTAAAGAATTTTTTTCTTTGGGGAAGCAGCCCAATACCGGCCCTGCTATAGAAGGAAAAAAAGCCCTGACTAACTAACACATACTGGCAGATATCTTCGTTCAAATTGTGTAAACAATACCTTCAGTAGTTTTCATTCATCAACTCATTTTTAGTGTTTTATACACACATTTTAACAAAACATAGCTTCCAATTTTTATTTAATAAAAAGCGGCATCGCGAAAAATAAGTGACAATTAAAAATTTACCTATCCCCTGCAGTAACATTCACAATTCTTGTTGTTTTTTATTTTCAATTTTATTAGATTTAATATTTTTTTTCTTATTTAAAGAATTTTAATCAGTCCTTTCAACAGGCATGATAAAACGAAATGGTTTGGGTACGAGTTTGATTTCTGTACATGTACTATGATCAATTGAGGCTGTCTAAACTTTAGGACTTAACAGTATAGAAAAACAAATAGTACAACTGTAAAGCCTATTAAGCTGCAATGAATTATTAGAAGTAATATAGCATCAAAAATTAGATTCTTTTACCTTTTTCTGCCTCCGCATTCCTGTACTGTACACGCAGTAAAAATGTCCGATTCCAAATTTCCTTTAAATGACTTCCGATAAGTAAGCAGATAACCTTTTACAAATGTTACCTGTTTATAAAATTCATAGTGGATTTTAAAATATTTCTTAGAGTGTCTACATCTACTAATTAACAGCTTAAATAATATTTTTCCCATTTTTTGGCATTAATTTCAACCAATAGAAATGCTGTATTCCAGTTTTGTCAAATCTGACCAGCAATTGAGGACGCAATAATTCGCCGAGTGGGAAGTTCAAAAATGGCTACTTTTTTAGGTCGACACACAGCCCCGACACACCATCATATGAGACCTCCAACCGAGGACACAACTTGATTACATTTTTTTACATGTTTTAGCAAAAAATAAGCATTTTTAGAGTATAAAATATTTTTGTCAATTGAGGATGGGCTCAATTGTCGGTCATGTCCTCACTCGTTGCTGTTATTCCTGACAAATTTCCTCAGTTGCTGGTCCTTACAGGAGCACACACCATCACACACACACACACACACACACACACACACACACACACACACACACACACACACACACACTTGTACATGTATCTATTGGAGGACTATGATTTATACCCGCTTTTTGACGACCCTATCTATATGTGGTCTGAGAAGATTGAATTGACATAGAATTGAAATATTTTCCGATATGAACAGGCTATGCTATAGAACTTCTATATACACTTCATAGGTTATTAGAAAAAATAAATGAGGACCTGTAAAGTTTTGATATTCTTTTGAGGACCACCAAATGAGGACCTTCATTTGGATGTTTTACACAATTCCAAATCAAATATTGTTATGAGGACTGTTACTAAACACTAATTCTCAGATAAGACATTTCATAAATTCTAGGACTGAAAAAATACTTTTCTCGTATATTAAAAAAATATATTCCATTCCAAAATTGTAAGTATCTCGACATCTTGAAATATAAAATATTACCAGTACAGATGTCCTAGATTTTTCCCTATGACAGGTTTTTCAAGATAGAGCCAGAAAATAAATTTAATCCTTTCAAGACAATGGTCCTTAACGTTTTGCATAAGCTATGGTATGGCGATTTTTCTTTGTCTCTAAAATTTTTCATCATTTTTAAAGAAAAATTTGGGAAAGGGGGGTCAAACAATAAACTGAAAAATATATTAAAATTTTGGGGAAGCAATTTTATACCTATATTAAATATATTTTTAAAATAAACCTTACAAAAATTTACAAATTTTCTTACAAAGGCGGAAAAAAAGTTAAAAACGGAATTATTCATGTTTCTACTTATTTGTTATTCAAATGTCAAATGTGAAATAATTTACGTCATGAATAGTATAAAAGAGTTGCATTCTTACTAGCCCGGTAATGTTGAAGATTCTGAATTTTATTCTTAAATTTATGTCATATTATTTAAATGTTTTTTTGTTTTAAAGCATATTATCTAAAAATGTGTATCTTTGTACATTTTGATATTCCATGTATTAAGTGTCATGTATGTACAGTGATAAAAAACGTAACTTCGATGCAAAATAAATAAAAAAGTGCTTCCAATGCATCGATATCTACAATACTTCGTTAATAATTTTTACAAATATCACATTATATTTCCTAGAGGAAAGATTAAAATTGTTTATTGCATTCAATGAAAATTGAACAGTGGAATATTCAATATTAATTTAAAGGTGCGCAAATTAAAAAAAAAAACAGAAATGACAACATTAGATCGTTTTGCAGCAGGATACCAAACAGGACGGGGAACACGGGCAAATACAATAAATCTAATCATAAAAAACACACAAGGTAATTAAACATGAAAATTATATAGATTAACTGAAAGGAGACAATGAATAGGAGCAGAAGGACGGGACAATGCAGGAGGATGAATTTGAGAAAAATGACATTGAAAATGAAAATGAAAATGAAATTGAACACACTTAATCATCAAACAATTAAGATTTTAAAACTTATTCTTGCCTTTACTGGCAGCCAGTGAAGATCGAACAAAGCTTGCTTAGAGCTATCATATTTACTTCTTGAAAGAACTAACTTTGCGCACATATTTTGAATCCTTTGCATCTTTTGTAAATCACAGTTTGCGATACCGTATAAGATGGAGTTACAGTAGTCTAAGTGAGACATTACTAAAGATAACACAAGAGTCTCTGTCGCTTCCTTTGTGAGGTATTGTCTTATGTTTTTGATCCGCATAAAATTTATCATGGCAGTTCTACATTTCCGCTTTACGTGTTCTTTGAAGTTCAAATTTTCGTGCGAGGAAAGCACCAAGATATCGAATGCAGTTTTCTTTGTTGATGGTATCGTTTACAATTTTGATACATTTAGTTTCACATTTGGTAAGTTGTTGCTTACTCCCAAACATAATGAATTCGGTTTTTGAGGTGTTCATTTTCAACTTATTAGAATTCATCCAGTTGTTCGTTGTTTCGCCAGCGTTTTCTAATCACTTATTGTATTCTTTTCACTGTTTTGTATATTGGAGAAAACCGATTTGTCCATAGTATGGTCGTCTGCGAAGCCACGAAGTGTGACCGTCGCGGAATGTCATCGAAAAGTGTGCCTGCATAGGCGAGATACAACCAGGGCCCGAGACAGGATCCTTGAGGAACAGAACACTCCAGTGCACGTGACGTCGAATATGCCGAGTTTACATTAACCCGACAACTGCGTGGGTGAAGGTAGGAGTCAACCCAGCTTAATGCGGTAGAGGTAAGTCCGTATTGCTTGTTGAGCACGTCGATCAAAATGCTTTGGTCGACCGTGTCAAACGCGGCGCTCAGGTCAATGGCGATTAAAGCAGTCACTTCCTGTTTTTCCATTGCGCCGAGAAGGTCGTTCACAAGACGCAGAAGCGCAGACTCACAGGAATGATTTTTTCTATAAGCACTTTGATTTGTGGTAGAAGTTTATGTTTTTTCAGCATGTGAATTTAACACTAATAGGGCTGCTTTTTCAATAACTTTTGAAAGAAACGGAAGATTACTGACTGGGCGATAATTCGAATAGATCAGATCAAGTCCAACTTTTTTAAGCAATGGTCGAACTACAGCCTGTTTCCATTTCTCAGGAAAGATGCCTTGACTGAGCGATAGGTTCACTAATTTAGTTATCAACGAAAGTAATTCAGTCAAAACATTTTCAAGACGACAGTTGGTAGTACGTCGAGTTCACACGATTTCGATTGCATATTGTTTATGATTTTCTTCACATCATCTTCGGAAAGTTCGTCGAATTTTGGTTGATTTTCCACATTTTTGACCGAAGGTTCGTAGTTCGGGTAAGTTTTCAAAGATTCTCTGATTTTAGAAATTTTGTTCATAAAATGGTCCGCAAACGAATCCGCAATAGCATTGTCACTCTCGCCGCTTGGCGTAGGATTTTGTACTTTACTTCCGGTAATTTCTGTCACAAATTTATATAATTTCTTTGAATCGCCTTTAAGCTCCGAAACTTTTTCGCTGAATGTTTGCTTTTTCACTTTTTTAATTTCCATAAAGTATTTATTCCGGGCATTTTGAAATGAATGATAGTCCTCGGGTTTTTTGTATCGTTTCCATGTTTTTTCTGCTTTCCGAAATGATTTTTTCTTTTCAAGAATTGAATCACTGAACCATGGCTTTGGAGCACGAGTAATACGAGTTTTCTCTGTGACTGGGGCATGTTTGTCCAAAATAACTTGAATTTTATTCTCAAAATCACATACATATTCGTTTATGTCTATTTGTTCAATTTCTAGACTTTTCAGATCTTCTGAGAAAGCGTCTTTATCAATATTTTTATAGTTCCTAAACGAGACTGTTTCACTTTTGATATTTTCCTTTTTTATTTCAGTCACAATTTTGACAACACAATGATCTGATAAAAATGGACCCTGTTCACATGATTTTATTTTAACCCCATTTTCTTGTTCAGTTATTACAAGGTCTAGTACGTTGCCCCCAATGTGTGTACTGAAGTCGACATGCTGATGAAGCCCAAGCAAAAATAAACAGTTTTTGAATTCTGATGTTGCGTGTGTACCGTCGTTTACATGTAAGTTGAAATCGCCCATTAACATCAGGTTAGAGTTTTGCGGTATTACATCTTCCAAAAATTCACAAAATTCTGACACAAAGTTAGTGACTGTACATAGGTTTGGTGGTCGGTAAACACCCACAATAGTCATTGAAATGTTTCGTAAAACTACCTTCCATATGCCATGTTCGAACGAATTTCTGGTGCGGCTATTGATTTTACGAACGTTAACCCCAGTCCGAGATACGAGACCGACCCCGCCACCGATTCGTTTGGACGATTTACTAGACTTAAAGTATAACCACTTTGATTCAAGTCAGAAGTATCGATATGATGTTGCTTATCGTCGGAAAACCATGTTTCAGTCAATATTGCAAAGTCAATTTTCTCCTCTCGAAGATATTGTCCGACAATGACATCTTTCGTAACAACGGAATGGCAATTTAAAGTCATGCACTTGATCTTTTCATCGTGCCGCTTTAGTGTATTGGTGATCTTTGGATGGATTAGATTTGAATAATCGACGCCTCTGGATGATCGATGACCTTTTTTTGACCACCCCTTTTACCACGACGTTTTCGATGTTGAGCGATGTTAAGTTCGTTTATTGTATGTGCAACGGAGGGATCAATTTTAAAACTGCTTCTATTGTTTGATACATATTTACCGATATCCAATAATTTTTCTCGAGGGTATATCCGATTTGAATAGGAATAATCCAATTTTTGACTTTCTGTTTGATTTTTATGATAAAAGTTTTGAATATTTCCAAAATTTTCTCTTGATTTTACCCATTCCACAACTGATATTGTAAAGAAATAAAAACACAGAAAGATGCACAATATATTCATTATTCCAGATATCACTTCTTATCAAAATCCAAGCTTTAATAATCGAATATCACAATTTAAACACAGAGCGAAATTAACACGTCTGCCTCAACCGGCGACTGTCTAAAATCTCAATGAGGTTTATATGTGTTTATTCAATACAGAATAAAACCTGTAACAAATAATATAAGTATAAGACATCACATTACAACCAAATATAATACAAGACAAATACATTTCACAAAATACATATTACAGAATATTACACAACAATTCAAATTACAATAAAAACAATTTCACAAATAAATATATACAAATATACATACCAGGCTTGTAATAGAAGAAATCTAATTGAGTAAATAAATTGAATATAAGCAAGTATTTCTATTAAGAAATAACTGACAGTAAACTATATTTTAAAGCTGTTTTCACTTCGAAAGCGAGACAAGGAGTGGTCAGTTACCAAGAAATGTTATATCCCAGAACCAAATCATCTAAAAATAACTTGCATACCAAAACCAATCATCCATCACTCAACTTGCAAAACCAGTTCAATCACTCATAACAAAAGGTACAAAGACAAACATGAACACATAACACCACAATAGATTTGGTTTGGCCTTAAAGGGAAATTATTACCGTAAACATTCTAAAAAGAGAACTTGGCTAAATTTAACCTTATCTACATATATTTACAAAAGTAATAAATGGACGTTTAAATATATTGGCTGAAAAATACAATGTGTATATAGAATCCCAGGCTGGTTTCAGAAAAAACATGAGCACTATTGATAATGTTTTTATATTACATGGTGTTATAACACATTTATTAGATAATAATAAAAAGTTGTATGCTGTTTTTATAGATTTCACTAAAGCTTTTGATTATTTGGTAAGAGATGTTATTTGGTATAAATTAATTCAATTTGGAGCGAGAGGTAAAATGATAAATATTATTAGGTCCATGTATGAGAATTTAAGATCAAAAGTAAAATACAATAATACAATTAGTGAAGAGTTTGTATGTTACTTGGGAGTAAGACAAGGCGAATCCCTTTCGCCGTTTCTATTTTATATGTATTTAAATGATATAGAAGAATATGTTATGTTACATGGTTTTGAAGGTATTGACTTAGGTATTTTAAGGATATTTTTATTATTGTATGCAAATGATAAAGTGATTATGTCTAAAACAGAGGAGGGCTTACAAAAAAGATTAAGATTATTAGACAAATATTGTGATAGGTGGAAATTAAGTGTTAACTGTACAAAGACAAAGGTTTTGATTTTTTAAAAAGGGGGTAGACTTAGACATAATTTGAATTTTTATTATAAAGGTCAGTCAATTGAAATAGTTAAAAAGTTTACATATCTAGGCGTTGTTTTTTTCTGTTGGAGGATCTTTCAATATGACTTTTGAAACACTCTCTGGACAAACATTGAAGGCGTTGTATAAACTTGAAAAAGAGCTGATAAGATTCCCTTGTATGTCAGTTAAACATAAACTGGATTTATTTGATAAACTTATTTTACCAATTCTTAACTATGGATCACAAATATGGGGTTTACTTGATATAAGAAAACATACATTTAAAGTATTGTAAGGAGTTGTTGGGAGTTAAAAGACAAACACAAAACAATTTTATCCATGGTGAACTTGGAAGGGCATCTTTAAAAACCACGAGAGCTATTAATGTTATAAAATACTGGTTAAAAGTTGTTCAGTCAAGCAGTAAAAAATATGTCAAAGTTGTATATGATCTTATGTGTAGAGATTTAGAACTTAAACCAAATTCAAGGTCCGGGGCTATGTCTGTTATGTTTTTGTTACAATATTTAGGTTTCAATGAAGTATTGATTAATCAGGGCGTTGGTGATATAAATTTATTTTAGCAATAGTAAAACAAAGATTAACAAATACATTTATACAAAATTGGTATGCAACTTTAAGAGATTCATCAAGAGCAAGAAGTTATGTATTATTTTGTGATTTTGGTTTTAAATCATACCTGTCAATGGTTAATATTGAAAAAAAAAATCTTTATCACGTTTCAGGACTTCTTCGCATAGATTACAAGTTGAAACTGGAAGATGGCATTAACCTGAAGCAATTCCTTACAATGAAATAAAATGTAATATTTGCTTAAAACTAGAAGATGAATTTCATGTATTATTAGAATGTCCACAATACAAGGTTTTTAGAAAACAGCTCATAGATAAATATTATTGAAAAAAAAAGAACAAATATACCAAAATTTATTGAATTGTTAACATCTCAAAATGAAAATGTTATAAGAAAATTATCAATGTTTACCTTTAGAATGTTTGAATATTTTGCTTTTTAATATTTCCATTTTTTTGCTATAGATTTTCTTATGAATGAATGGATTGACTTCAAATTACAACACACTATTTCTTAGGTAGGCCTTTATGTATCTTTTTGTATATCAAACTCAAATTGAGCTTTTGTCAATGAACTTAACCTCGTTCAAGTTAATATATTGATTTTTATTGATATTTTGTTAAAATTGGCTGTGAGTTGGTCATAATATATTGATTATCTTTATATCTTGACAAAACCACATTTTTGACAGACCCTTTTAAATTGTTGAACAGACCTTGTCCTTGAAAGTCAATGTCAAAGTATTAAATATTGGTTTAGTTGTCAGATTTGTATTTATGTACGGATTTGATTTATATATGGATAAGACAGACCCATTTCAGTAATTGGGTTGTCATCTGTCAGATTTTCTTTATCTTGGTGATATCTCTAAAACTGTAAAAACACCAGCATGAAACATTACAAGTAGATAAATCGTATTAAGGGGCAGTGTATTGTTGGCTTTAAAGCTTTTTATTTAATCAGTTTTGTAGTTGGTAGAAACGAACGCACAAGTAAGGCAAGTGAGGGGAACCAGATGGAGACAGTTGAGTGGGACCAGATGGAGGCAGCTGAGGAGAATCAGATTGAACAACATTAGGTGAACCAGATAGACACAGTAAAGGGGAACAAAATGACGAAAATTGCGGTGAACCAGATTGAAGCAGTTGAGGGGAACGTGATGGAGAAAATTGTCGGAAATCAGATTGAGACAGTTGAGGGAACGAGATGGAGGCAGATAAGGGGAAGCAGATGAATGCATGTAAAGGAAACGAGATGGATGCAGTTGAGTGGAGCCATATTGAGACATTTAAAGGAAACGAGATAGAGACAGCTGATGGAGGTAGTTGAGGGGAACAAGATGTAGAAAGTTGAGGGAAAGGAAATGGAAGCAGTTGAGGTGAACCAGACGAAGAAAGATTAGGGGAACCAGTTTAAAAAAGTTGAAAGGAATCAGATGGAAGCAGATTAGGTTGCAGGAACTAGATTGAGGCAGTTTTTGGAGCATAGGCCAATGCTCAAGCGTTTTTCGTTCGTTGTCAACATATTGTTTGTTAACACTTTAGCAGTCACATATTTTAATGAGATCTCAGTCAAAATTTGATTGAATGTTTGTGAAATACAGGTTAATATTGAATATGGTTTATCTGGTGTCAAAAAGTAAGTCACCAGGTCATGCAAAATGAGAACAATATTAAATTCTAAAATCTTGATCGTGTACTTTGGTTAGTTTGTTTATCTCAATGATATGCAGGTCACGATTGAATATGTGTAATCGCTTTTAAAATACATGGTCACTAGGTCAAAACATCGAAAAATAGTTCACACTTTAGAGTTAACAGTTCAGATGAGATCTTCATCTAACCTTTTCAGAGTATTTATCGTCATCGCATACCGCCGGTCAAGTTTACATATTGGTCATTTAGTATAAAAGTAGATCAACAGCTAAAGTCTAATGAAAATTGTGTCTGGTCATTTAGTTTAAAAGTAGATCAACAGCTAAAGTCTAATGAAAATTGTGTCAACACTGTAGATATCACAGGCTTATGTATATCAATTAACTTTGCCAAACTGTTTATCTAAGTAATTCGCAGGTCTCAAAGTTGAACTTGGGTCATCTTCTGTTTTAAACTGGGTGAATAGGTCAAAGCAAAAACCTTACACTCTGAAAGTCAAAATTTGTTTGTGATATTTATCAAATAAAGAATGTTTATCTTAATGGTAAACAAATTTGTTTCAAATGTTATCAGATGCTGATATTATTTTGAGTAATAAATAATAAGGACATGGGATTTTAAGATTTCTTTAAGCTGGTATCCCAAATACGTGTTATCCAATTATTTTGGTCCATCCACCATTCATATTGAACTTTATCATCTACATAGCAGCTTTAGGTTAGGTTTAACTACCATGACTTTATTATCTTTATAGGGACAGAAATAAATGTTATAGTATATAAGCTGTTTTACATTAACAGGAATTATACATATCAATCTGAATGATCGAGCTGTTGCCTCAAATATTTTTATGTGCTGTTATTCATGGGATTTTAAAATTTCTTAAAGCTTGTATCCCAAATATTGTTGTTATTTCAATATGAAATAATATTTACATCACAGTAAAACGTAAGTTTGCTATTTCCTTAACATATCATTTGTGTAAGTACACGCAAACATCATATTTTGTTGATATCAGAAATGTGTTACATTGTTTTAAAATGTAACTAGATAAAGGTACACAAACTTTCTTTTTATATTTTTATTTATACCGTGTGCCATTATTCTAGTTTTATACAGATATATAAAACTGTTATCAAATGTTGACACTTATATGCACAGGTTCTCATGATAGATATTTGAGATAGATGTGATGTTTCCTTTGTTTTGAATGAGAATGACATAATACATTTCATGTCAATTAAATTCTATATCAATAATCCAGATACAAGTTGTCTCCTCAATTCAAAATTGAGAGTTATATATAGTTAAGTACATTGAAATATGTTTCGCTTCAACCCTCTGATATTTAAATAAGGTTTTTTGAAGCCAATGTATCCCTGGCTTGCTTATATTTTGTGGCTTAATTGAAACATGCCGGCCTCCTTAAAACATTTTATTGTCTTTTAGATGAGGTCTCCTTAATGTCAATACGGTATGCACAAAATATATTTACAAATGCTCTCCTTAATACATGTTGTATTTTTTTTTCTTCGTTAATATTTTCTACTAGAGAAAATAATATATTTTTTTCTTTCCTTCAATGTAAATTGAACAGTGAAATATTCATTATCATCTCAAATGTGTGCAAATTAAAAGAACACAAACAAAAACTAATAGAAATGCTAACTTTAGATTGACTTTCCGGTTACCACATTGGACTTGATCTTTTGTAAAGCAGACAACAGCAACAACAACAGCAGCATCCGGAAAAGGTTGTGTGTTATCCGTGCCTGTTTTCTGTCATATAAGTGTTTGTCAAAACATAGATATATATGTACGCGCAAAACTTAAATGAAGAACAAGATCAACAAGAGAGACATTCCAACGTAGGATCACCGGTGAGAAGTGCAGCAAACGGGACGGGGGACACGGGCAAATACGGAAGGAATATCATCATAAAACTAATAATCATAAAAACCCACAAGGCAATAAAAGATGAAAATCAATTATAATAAATTAACTGGAAGGAGATGATGAATGAGATCAGAAGGGCTAGACAAGGCAGTGGGATACATTGAAGAAAAAATCTTTAGAGAAAGGGGAGATACTTTCTGTAGACGAGATTACTATATCCAAAGTCAAAAGTTATCTTCCTAATACACTAATGCGCAGAACCTATAACCAATGCCTATCAAATTGATACCAAAATTTACCTGTCCTGAATTGTAAGTAAATGGTGCTTGCTTTTGCTAAGGCAATAAAATCAAGTAGAGAGTTTGATGCTTAAGTACCAAGTTACTGCATAGCATAATGATTGTAATTTCATAAATATTAGAAAATATCAGTTTAAAAGTTAAGGTTTAAAGAAAGTGGAAACATTGTGTTGAATAACTGTTTTTTCAATAATTTATGATATTTGCAACATACTTCTATAGCAATATTGACAATAACCTAGTATGAGTATTGAACAAGCAAGTAATAACACTTCGTAATCACGGTGTATACCCATACAAAGATCCCGTGAAATGACATTATGAATAAGTATAAGATATATATATATCCTGGACATTTACAATTACCATGCTGCTTTCAGAAAAACCTATATCGTGAACATTCAGAGTTCCCGGGAATGGTCCACCCGTCAAAGATGTCAAAATATTTTGTGTTAAATATTGTGCTAAGTATATCTTATGATCTAATCGAAATATATACAAACTCATATTATTCAGTTTTATAAACAGTTTGGATAACGAAAATGAAGCTACAGGGAGACAACAATAAGAGCACAATAACACTGATGCATTAATATGAGTTTTATCCTCAGCCAATGGACACATTTAATCATCAAACAATTGTGGTTTGTATCCAAACAACTCAAAATCATACTCATACACATGACCGATATCTTCCAATAATTGCTTTGGTATATTCCTATATGCCTCTAACATCATCGTTCGTTTTTGACTTTTAACATTAATCCCTAATCTATTTTGATATTTTATTGTTCTAAACACAAGTTCTGTAAATATTCCAGTTGTGTTATCAAGAAAGTTAGTTTTAAGCAAATCTGATTTCGGAAAAGGCGTGAGTCTGTCTATATAACCGTTATATTGAAAGGCTATCCATAATCTGTTAGCAACATCAATTTTGTCAAAACATTTGTGTTTAATTGTTTTTTCTAAATCAAAATTGTATTTTGAAATTGTTGTTATTTCTATCCCTGTCATATCAAGCTCTGTTGTATTTTCTTTCAAAAATTCTAAACCAAACCGTGTTAATATATACTCGGAGTCTAAACGAAATGTTTCTTGTTTACCGATGACATCGAACTGAACATGGCATGGGCTACATACCCGGTGCAATCTTTCCCAGTGGTTATCCAATCCTTTTGTATAAGTTATAGTGACAAATTTAAGAAATTCATAAAATGAAACATTATTTGCACACTTTCTTTCAAATTGTGTCACATTTGATCGAAGTTTATTAATAATTACCACAGCATCTTTATGCCAAAAATCAGGAAGAAAAAGCTTGTCGATGTATGCCGACCATAACCTTGTGTATGGATTTCGTGCAAACATAAATGTTTTTCCTTTCGTCATAAGCATGCGAGAAATTGGATTATGCACTTTCCACATCTTAAGATTTTTTAAAGCACGTTCATGAACAAAATGCCTATCTATATCGAGGGGCCGGTTAATATTCTGTCTTTCTGGGTAGTCTTTTCCTAAAAATCGCATGATACGTTTCCAGAATGTATTCCCAGTCTTTGGAACAATACAAAAATAGATATGCTCTTCCTCGTAGGCTAACACATCGCCACTTTGGCGAAATGTCTGCCAGTATTTATCCTGCATGTAATGTGAACATTTTTGGCGTATTGATTCCAAACGATCTTTCATAATTGTATGCTGTGTTTTTAATTCGATTTTTATCAAATCTGTTTTTGTTATCGATGCGAAAGATATGTTTTGATATTCAAAATTATTTGATTTTGTGTCTGTTATCCTTTTGTGTAACTCGGCATTTATTTCATGATGGTTACTCACACAATTCTTCTGAAAACATATAAATAATTAGATTTATTAATTATTATTGTCCTTGAGAACAATCAAAACTTTATCTTAATTGTTTTATTTTCTTTTTTCATATTTTATTTATTCATTTATTTTTATTCTATTTTCTTTTTCTTTTCTTTTATTTTTGAGCGGGGTTGATTTATACATCAAACCAAACACAGTACAGAGAATATTGCACTTCAAAGAAGACCTCAGATGAATCGTGTCGATAAACATCGATATTATCCTACATTGTTATACTATTAAACATGTTTCAAAGTTGATTTAATTCATTTTTCTATATTTACTTTTTGCCAAAGTACGTTCATTGTTTGCAATCGCCATGACAAAATATATTTCATTTAATATTTATGCAGAGGCAGTAATAAATGGAATTGAAATTACTGAACAAATTATCAAATTTATCAAACGAAGAGCAATAACTATTAAAACAGCTTATTCAAACTGGAACTGTTACAACAGAGAAAGAAGACTATTATTGTTAACACGAATAGAGACGAATATGTTCCGGAAGTTAAAACAGTACTTACAAAACAATATTGACTATAAAATAACTTGATGAGATTCCACAGAAACTATAACTAAAACATTTACGATACGCTTGAAATTTAAGTAATAATACTTTATAATTTTAGTAATATTATAAATGCATAGAAAATAATTTTTCTCTTTCACTCAAAAACAGACTGCCACTGCTCCTTAGTAGTTGTAGTAGTAGTAATAACACATTTGTTTGTTTTGTTTTTTTTTTTTTTTTTTTTTTTTTTTTTGGGGGGGGGGGGTGGAAAAAATTTAATATAATTATTTTTTTTCAATTGGATTCATTTGTTTTCTTTTTTTAAATGCTTAATTAGGTAAATGTGTTCAAAAAATGTACTTACATGGCTCAAATTGTATTGTTGTGATAGCCAATAAATTGTGTCCTTCTTAATACCAGAGTCTGTAAAAAGAAATAGGTGTTTTGATCTTTGAAAAAAACAGAACAAATTTGAAACTATACCAATAAAGAAGGGTTAAATACAAAAAAATAATTCATCTGTAGAAGTATCAATATAAAGGAGAATCAATTCATACCGTATATATATAAAACAATTCTATATAAAAAACCCTATAAAGTGAATGGTATAAACATATATACTAAACTCTGATGAAAGAAGAATGAGGCATTTATATTTATTTTTGAAAATGAGCCCATGCATGTTGCATGTTCCACAAAAAATTGCACTTGTAATAAGACTGTTGTCAGTGTACATATTGTAATGTATATCTTTCATTTTGTCCAAAAGGTCATGTCAACGTTCAGAAGGATAATAAAACATATTTTGGAATGTGCGATTCACCAATATACTTCCAAAATAAGTTGTTTTCACTAAAAAATAATGAAATGAACAATATTTTCAACAATATAATTTCACAATCAAAAAATCAATATATATTGAAAGTAAAAAAAAAACAAACACACTATCTATTTTATATTTTCACTGGGATAAGCAGTTGATTAATCAGTGGTCTCTAAGATTCCAGAAACAATACAAAACCGGATATATAACAATTCATCTTTTCGTGTATTGAATATAACTATATACGCACTGAAAAAACGAAGCACAATTCCGTTCAGTGCAACAAAAGCTGTAATAAAAATAATAACATTGCTGCATTTCCTACATTTCCTTTTAAAACTCTTCATTTTATGAATTTATGATAAGATAATTCATTTAATAAATAAGATTAATTGAAAGTCTAATGCTTTCGTTTTTAACAAATTTGCCAGCACAACAGTCGTTTAAATAAGCTAATGTCATACATTGTACGTTTACATAGTGATATTATAAAACATTTAAGTATAAGACATAATAAATAAATAAATAAATAAATAAATAATAAACATAAAAACAAGAAAAACTTACATGTATTTATGTTGATATATAATAAACATAATATTATGAATATCTGCACAATTACACATACTTTTGATTTTCTCTTGCACAACATTTTAAATCACAACATTGAAACATAAATTATAATAAAACTGCTTAGATTGTTTTTTAAAGAAGTTTTATCATTTCAAACTGTCATGTTGTGTTAATGCAACAATACTTGGTTAAGAAATGGTTTGTAATATTTCGTCTCGCCAGTGAAGCGATAATATTACTGGCATGTCATTATACATGTCTTTTCAAATATGGATATTGATGCTTCAAGTGTACGTGCCGCTAGCTGTAAATCGATGTGTTGCAAATATAAGAGAAATATATACAAAATATTAAGAATAGAACATTGATGAGATATGTGTCATCATAACTCGACGACTAGCACATTGTTTTGAACTTCAAAGTTCAAAGGAGAAAATGGCAATAGTATGTAATCTAAACGTATGTACCCTAGTTATGATGAAATATATTTTGACAGATCTCTTCATAGTAATTGTCTGTTTTAACAATTAGCATTGTCGCAGTTTAAGGTGAAAGGTCACGCACTATAAGTTTGTTTATCAAACTGTATAATCAATTATGTCATCAATTGTGTGACACTTTAGGATGAAAGTGTCAATGTGTTAATTGGAACAATTTACACCTTTCATTCTCTGACTTGGAGCACTGATAATTAAATAAAATTAGTATTTGAAATAGTGACCAATAGAATACATCATCTGACAGTCAACGGGGTCAAAGACGCGGGGTTTGGCGGGATATCTTCAGAACCGACTGAACAATAAATTCAACAAAAAACCAAACAAAACCGTTAACAATTCAATGGCCAATACAGAGCTCAACAAACTTACAATAATGAAACCTTCTTTCAATAAAATATAACCAAGAATTTAAAGAAGCAAAATGTGACAAAAGCTTCACGCATCTACCTCCGCCAAGAACTGATAAAGAATGACAAAAGAACTCCGAATGAAACTGCGCTAAATTCTAGATACCGTACTATACGGTAAAAAACCAATACCATACCATGTCACTAAATTTCCGACTTGTCACAATATTTCTTGAACATTTTGGGTTATATCCCAGACAACCAACCAACCAGACCTCTGGCCGCCAGCTGACTCCAGTAGGGGGTATAAAAAGGAATCTAGAACTTATCAGACAAATCAGGAAAGTTTACTGAATTAATGATAAGATATAAAAGAAGTATTTCTAGAACTTTACATATTGACCTAGTTTTTGACCTTACATGACCCAAATGAAATTTTATACTCACAGACATTCAATCTGACAAAGATTCATAATGATTAGATCCAAATGCTGCCCCTAATATGAATAAAATGTTAATAATGGATTTGATGTAGTGGTTATGTTTTGGACCTTTCAACACCTGCATAGACTTAAATAAATTAGTCTGAACGATAAGTTTCTTGAAAAAATGTGGCCTCTAGTGTGTTAACAACGTAAAGGTGAACAGACAACTCACGACAGATATCCAACACTACTGATTAATCTTTATAAGCACTTAAATGATCTGTTGGCCAAACAATACAACAAGTACCCAAAAGTAGAATAATAACATTTCACCAGTATCTTTAAAAGTCAGACAGCAGGAAAACAATACAACTATCCAAAGCTAAATCGGCCTTCCCTACATATTACTAGAGAGCATGTTACCCTTACTATACATTTTTAGGCATTATCTGGTGACTCAGTTACAAAGATGAAAACCAATACAAGTATCTGCAAACAATACTATTTAATTTAAGCAATCTTTCAGAGTTCATTTTATTGTTTTAAGCATTTATTTCATGCAGCTTTATTATCAAATGTCAAACATATTTCAGGTTGAATAGTAGGTTCGTTAGGTCGGATTTTTTTTCTGTCAGTCTACGAAAAATAGCTGAAGACATTTAGATTGGAAGCAGGCCTTAGCCGGCCATGCTTTTAACCGTGATCTGTTTGTTTACGTTACGTCCGTTTGCTTTACGTTAGCTTACTTAAAAAATAATACAAATATCTGCAAACAATACAATTGCATTTAAGAAATCTACCACACTTCATTGTATCATTTTCTAACATTTATTGCATGCACCTTTCTTATAAAATGTCAAACACTTTTCAAGTTCAATAGTAGGTTGATAACTTGATTCACCTGGCAATGGAACAGCATCTACCCCAGCATCAGACATTTTTGAAAGTTCAGATTAAAATTATTCATCATATTAAATTGAGACCCTTACCATTTTTTCAGCAGAAAATATTTCATGTTTGCATGAATAAGAGAAATTTCATTTTTCAGGTACTTAAGGGTTAACTAGAGTCAAATTACAATGCATCAATAATAAAGGATGGTTGAAAAAAATCAGTTATCAGATATTCTGCTCTACAGAAAATCATATTAGTCGGGCAAGTGTCAAAGAAAATGTGAAGTACTGTCTTCAGATGCCAATTAGGCAATACTTTAAAATTAAAGCTAAGATCTAAGATCTTTGATTTTTAATATACATTTATTCAAGTGGGCTTATTTCATGTCATTTAAATATATTTTACATTACCTAGCGAAAGCAGCTAAGATTAAAGTTCATTTTTGAAATAGAAATATGTCCATATGCCATCACTTTCCAGTTAGTTTATACAAATTTAATTAGTTTGATTGTGTTTGAAGCTTATTAGAACACTCTCTAAACCGTTCCTGGAGCCAACCAGTAGAACGCAATGAATGTAAAGTTTTTTTGTTAAAAAAGCAATGACTTGCCCCTGACAGGGTTTGAGCCCATGCGGCCATCTATCTATGGATTACTAGTCCCACTTCACAGTTTTTTGAGAATTATGGCAAGCATTTGCTGTTTATGTGAAACTTTGACCTTGAAAAGGCATAAATGTCGCATGTCATATCTAAGCCTTCATATCTTCATAATATCTTCATGCTACAGATGTATTCATCACTATTAGATAAGTGATGACTCTGATATGAAAATGCAATACTACCAGCAAAGGTCGGTTAAAGCAAAAACTGTATTTTATATTATATAAGACACAATGTACATTACTAAGTTGATGGGAAATAAAAAAATATATATAGCAAATTCTACAGAGTTTCTTTAAACTCTTTGCCTTTCCATTTGTTCACACAACCATTGCATACCGCCGTGAAAAGTTGAGACACCTGAATGATATAATTGTCAAAGTGTAATAGAAAGAGTGTATATTAGTTCAATCATCCCGGATTGCTGAACTGGTAGAGCAGATTTGTAATCTCAAGGTTTTGGATTCAATCCCCAAGATTGACCACTGGTTAGACTATAAATAGGGTTCCGATTTAGATGCTTAACACCTGGCATGTCAACATAACCAGAGTGTGCCTCAAGTAATTGTAATCTTTAGCCATGTAACAAACTTCACATTTTTACTATAATGCTCTAAATCTTTTCATTTGGCATTTGAAACCCGATATTTAAAAAAAAATGAATATTGAACATGGCTCTAGCTAGACCAAATTTTAGGGAGAAGTGACTTCTTCCTCAGCTCCTATCAGGGAGAAGTTTGACGACATCAGGGGAAGCAAAAAAAGTGCTAGGCGTATAGCTTCATCAATAAAAAGATTTTTTTTTTATCTATTTACTCAGTATTATTAATGTGAACATATATCTAAAAGATGTAGACATAAAAGGATTTTTAAGGAATACATAAGGGAAACACTGTGCTGTCAAAAATGTATTGAAAATATTTGAAATATAATTTCTAAAGCCCTCTATTATCAGACAATTATACTGTTTTCTTCCTGATAAACTCCACACACACCCTCCCTAAAGAACATATTCATTGTATCACATACTGGCAAATTTCTTGGTCTAAATAAACGTAAACACTACCTTAAGTTTTCAATAATGTACTACATGTACATTTAAAGTGCTATTGGACACATTTTAACAAAACAAAGTTTCATTTTGGTTACTTCATTTTTCATCGTAAAAATCGGCATCGCGAACATATGTGACAGATGAAAATTTGACTGTTTCCTGCAAAAACACTTACAATTTTGATTACA